TTACCAGCACTGAGAGAAAAAATCCTGGAGATTCTTTTCTCAGTGCAAATTTTCTCCCTGAAACTTGTGAATCTGATGTATCATACCAGAAATATATAAGAAACATACTTCTTAGAGGAGAAAGTCATATAGAAGGAAATCTCAGCATCCTGTGGTCCACAGGAGTTTTATCACTGAGTTGAGTGAGTCCAGTTTGGCGTTGGAAAAGAGATGTTCTGTATGTGAGCATGCAGTGATCCAAACCAGACAGAGCCAGTATAAGATAAACTCTTAAGTTTTACAGTCTAGAGCATTCGAAATTATCAGTTCTTAACACACTTTCAGGGGTTAAGACCTGATCACATTCATATTTCTCAGCTCCAGGTTGATTTGCCTCAGATTAGGAGGGTATTTTGTAATAGATTTCATTTTCTTTTACATTCCCCTATCATGGGAATTCAGAATGTGGCTCAGCACAAAGTGGTAGTGAAAGCTCTAGACTGGTTCATAAAATACACCGTCATTAGTATAGGGAACAATAGGTAGTATGAGTCAGGGAATTACTGTCAGAGAGATAAAGCCCTGCTTGAGTAGCTTACAGTCCATCTTAGGGTAGCAGTTACAGGATTTGTGTCATATGAAGATCTGAAAAGGAAAATGAGCAGAGTGTAAAAGGAACAATTATGTGCTCTCACATACAGGTGTCATCCTTTGGCAAGAGCGCAATAGTTTATCTTCCATTGAAGCATTTCTAATTTTACAGAGCCACATTATGTGGTAATGAGAAGAGGCTGAGGGAGGAGTGTGGATTGCAAAAGAGACTGGCTAAGGGGATTCCTGGGGATTTGCATCTTCTCACCTTGTTTGAGGATCAAAAGGCTGTAGGGATAGTGTTACACAAATTGTAGTACATTAGCCCCTAGTGTTCCATAAGACATCAAAAGGTGAGCTGCAAGGCAGAATTAATTAAATAGAAACAAAAGAACACCCCCTGGATACATAGCAAGTTGCATTGCAATTGTTAATATATACTGAGCTGGCTCAGGAAAGACTCCATCCTGACATGTTAAGATCTGAGGCAAATGTAAAGTGATACGAACATTTCAAAACTAAAATATTTGTAATTATGTTCATAAAACTGTATTAAACCAATAAAATGTATTTTCTCTAAATAATGAATACTTTATTCATTCTTTTTCTGACTCAGAAAAGAATTAGACATTCCAGGGACCTCTTTCAGACAGTTGAATCGTCCTTAAAGATAAAAGTTTGGGAAATCATGCTCTAGGCAGCCCGTATCTTCTAGAGGAGACTACTGCAGAAAGAAAGTTCTACTTTTGGACCTAGTTCAGGAATGTTGCAGTCTCTCTGTGTTGCTCATGGGTGGCCATACCTGAATCTCAGTGGCAGAGGCAAATATCCTATTGGTGCTTGGATATACTGGATGTAGGCATTTTGCTTCCTACTGCTACCTTGTTAACATTCATATTCATGATGATTGGTCTTTGAGCACTCTCTTACTGAAAAGTGCTGCTCTCAAAGACAGTAAGTCAGAACTGAGTGCCAGCAGATTGTCCCAGGAATTAAAAATAACACTATATGTTAAATATGTTTTGGCTAATGTTGTTAGGGTTTTTTTTTTTCAGTCTGGCTAGCCTGAGAAATGTTACATATAAATTGGAAAGTTTCAGTTAAGGATAGACACTTCTTGCCACAATTATTACAGAGGTAAAATAACAAAATAAGGATAGGCTGAGAATGCTGGGCCTGTTCAGACTCAAGAAGAGACGACTGAGAGGGAACCTCATCAGTGTATGTAATTGTTTGAAGGGAGGGTGTCAGAGGACGAAGCCAGGCTCTGTTTGGTGGTGCCAAGCAATAGAACAGGAGGTAATGGGCAGAAACTGATGCACAGGAAGATCCACCTGATCATGGGGAAGAACTTCTT